GCACAGCTCTGATATACCTTTTTCGCCTCCTGTGCATCACCTATGCATACATGCTCGTCGGTTAAGAGTGCTCTTAATTTGGCCTATTTTCCATACATCGCCAATTCGATCGATAAACTTCCGTCTAGGGCGTCCCTTCCCGACTCTGCCGTTTACTTTTGCAACTCTCTGTCACTCTTTCCTCATTTTTTTTTCTACATGACCAAACCACCGAAGCATTCCTTTCTTAATCCTGGTCACAACATCATCTTGCAAACCACACTCTTCTCTTATTACGAAATTTCTTACCCTGTCATTCAGATTCAGCACTAACATATATTACAGGTATTTTTGTTTTACAGAAGAGGGCCATTAGAGCTATTTACAATCTAAAAGCGAGAGAGTCTCTTAGAGATAAATTTAAAGAAATTAATATATTAACTTTGGCCTCTCAGTATATTTACGAAAATTTAATGTATGTTCACAAAAACAAAGATAATTTTAGTAAAAGAAGTGATATACATTCTGTAAACACAAGGAACAAACACAAGCTAGTGATACCAGTTTCTCGACTCCACAGAGTCAGTAATTCATTCTTGGGGCAATGTATACGCTATTACAACAAGGTCCCGGAAAGTGTACAGGTTCTCTCTATTACCAAGTTTAATTGTTTTATTAAGCTGAAATTGTATAAAAAGGGTTATTATAGTATAAATGAATACATGGTTGATAATAACCCCTGGGAATGAGGTGATCGCTTCCAAGCAGTTTCTAAAATAAATTTTGTAAATAGTTCGTAATCATTTATATTGTAAAATTTATTTTAAAAAAAGTCCCGCTGGGTTTCTTGCTGGTTCTTCCCAGGACAGAGGGTTTTTTTCGAACCAGTGGTAAAGTTAAAAATGACTTTCAATAAGAATTACACATGTAATGTATATTGAATAAAAAATATTCTATTCTATTCTATTCTATTCATACTCCCACACCCAACTGTTACTACCATATATTAAAGTGGGAACTAACACAGCATTGTAAATTGCTATATGTGCCTCTTTGGACATATTATTCCGACTTTCCACAATAGAGTGTAGAGACCCATTTACTCTATATCCTGCATTCACTCATCGTTCTATATCCTTATCATATCTACCATCCCTGCTAAATACACATCTCAAATACAGAAAGATGAGTTTGTGCGTGCTCCACCAACTTCTAATCTGTTTTTATTTCACATATTTTTTTTACTTTATTCTCTTTCAAAAACCGTCACTTTCGTCTTATTTGCGTTAGCTTTCATTCCCCTTTCTTTTAATGACCTGTTCATTTTATATCCATCATTTGCAACTCGGCCACCGACAACGCAAATATGACCTGATAATCAGCATACAAAAGGCATTTAATGGTTAGCTTAAGCAATCTTAAATCGCATTCATCAACTTTCAAATTTTCCAGACAACTGTCCATAAATTGGTTGCACAGCCACGGGGAATCCACACAGCATTGTCTGACACCTTTATGGATGTCAAACCAGTGCAAATGGGCCTCGTTGATCCTGACACAAGCACTAGGGTGCTTATAAAGATACTTTAATGCCTGTATCAACCCAGCACTCAACCCAAATTCAGAGTTCATTATTTGCCATAACACGTTCCTGTTCATTATCATAAGCTTTTTTCAATTCCATGAACGTACAAAACACTTTTTGGTTTTTAGGCAATAACTTCTCTACAATCAGGCGCATTTCTAAATCCCGCTTCCACATCCCAAATTTTTCCATCATTTTCTTTCACAACTCTTTCAGTTAGTACCTTAGCATACAGTTTTTCCACAATTCTAAGAAGGCTGATACCACGGTAGTTTTTACATTTTCTCTGCAACCCTGTTTTATGTATATATAATGTATTATATCCGTACCAATAATTATAAACATTAAAACAACTCCCCTTCTTGCCTCAGCCAGTATCGGTATCCTCGGAGTCGACATATCGAGTGACGTGCAGTTTCGTGGTCACTTGGAAGGGAAGGCCAAATTGGCCTCTAAAAAGCTTGGCGTGCTCAGCAGAGCGGGACAGTATTTCATGCCGGCACACCGCCTGCTACTTTACAAGGCGCAAGTTCGGCCTCACATGGAATACTGTTCCCATCTCTGGGCAGGGGCTCCCCAGTGCCAGCTCCTTCCACTTGACCGCATCCAACGCAGAGCGGCTCGAATTGTCGACGACCGAGCCCTTTCCGATCGGCTCGATTCATTGGCACTGCGAAGAGATGTTGCATCCCTTTGCATTTTCTTTCGCATCTACCATGGGGAGTGCTCTGAGGAATTGTTCGGATTAATCCCAGCCCCCAAATTTCACGAACGCACATCGCGGCAGAACTCCCGATACCATCCACACCATCTGGATGATTGGCGGTCCACCACTGTGCGATTTAGAAGATGTTTTCTTCCTCGCACGACCTCCTTGTGGAATCGATTACTATCAGCGATTTTTCCGGACCGATACGACTTAGGGACCTTCAAGAGCGTACTCCTTTTTAAAAGGCCGGCAACGCATCTGCGATTCCCCTGGTGTTGCAGTTGTTCATCATGGGCGACGGTAGTCACTTACCATCAGCCGCATGCTCGTTTGCCCCCTCTACTATAAAAAAAAAAAAAGTTTTGTAATTATTTTAGAAATTAACTACTTCATGAAGGTGTTATGTACACTATTTCCTAAATCAATAATGGAAGTAGGTTGTATGGGCACATAACAATTTTATAAAGGCCAATAAAGTAAAAAGTTTACTTTTCTACAGTGGAAGAAAGAGCTGTGTGTGGCATCGCACTCTAATTCAGTGAATGAAGGTGTTATGTGCTGAACATATTTCCTTCATTCACAAAACGGCGTCACTATCCATTCAGTTCATTCCCGTACTTTTGAAACTCGGATGAAGTGCTGCTAGTTGTTGTCAAAAATGAATTTAACTGTTAATAAATCGACATTGCTGACTCACAAAAACAATGTCAGGAGCCAAATCAAGACTAAAACAATTAGTGGAACCTGCGCTTAACCACAATTTGGTTGATACACCTGTGGAGAACAATGTTTACAAAAATTGTAACCTAAAAAATGTCCGCAAGGTGTCTTTTTTTCTTTATTTCTTACTAACTGTTCGCCGCGGTTTCAATTGCGTTTACCTAATGATATATAGCTTATAGTTATCCCCAATATGTGGGCTATAACACAAAAATATATTTAATCGGACTTTGAGCACGTGCAACCATGGAAGCCAACCATATCTTCAGCTTTATAATAATATTAAAATACTAACTTTGATGATATTTTTTAATTTATATGAATGATTTGGGAATGCTTACAGGACGAAAGATATTCATTCCTTTTATTGATTACTGGGTAAAAGGTCAGTAAGATGCGTATACACGTCATAGCACGCTTGGTTTTATAACGTATTTTAATATTTTTATTCATTTGTTCTTTATGCACTATTTATTTTCGTCTTTGCACGCATGCTGTTTCTGTCTGCTTAATGACTTCTTTTCCCTTCTAGATAAATGCAACATGGAGTTAGTGTTTCAGCGTGAGTATGAATGTATTCAGCTAGAACAGGACCCTGTACTGTGTTTTCTTCATTTTTCTATCGATCAAGAAATAAGTTCTGGAATTAATGAAACACATACGTCGAATACTTTAGTTGTCGGAGATCCAAACGTAATAGAAGACTCCTAATTTGAAGAAATCAACACTTCCAAATTTGCTTGGCAAAATAAAAAAAAAATTACTGTCGTTAATAATGTACCTATTTCTGATGGAAATATAGAAGATTTTTCTTCGGGAAGTGATGATGTTTTTGTACCGGAAAGCTCATCAAGCTCCTCCACTTCTCAAAGCTGTGGTAAGATCAGTGATAGAGCGTATCAACAAGAGTACCTTGTACTTGCTCATCCATCTACCAGTATAATTCAGGAAAATACTGTTAAACCCCGAGAAAATGCTGATAGTGCTAGTCATCATGATTCTTTTTTTTTATAGAATAGGGGGCAAACGAGCATGCGGCTCACCTGATGGTAAGTGACTACCGCCGCCCATGAACAACCGCAACACCAGGGGAATTGCAGATGCGTTGCCGGCCTTTTAGAAAGGTGTAAGCTCTTTTCTTGAAGGTTCCTAAGTCGTATCGGTTCGGAAAATTCGCTGGTGGTAATTGATTCCACAAAGAAGTTGTGCGAGGGAGAAAACTTCTTCTAAATCGCACAGTGGTGGACCGCCAATTATCCAGATGGTATGGATGGTAACGCGAATTTTGTCGCGATGTGCGATGGTGAAATTGAGCGGCTGGAATTAGTCAGAACAATTACTCAGAGCACTCCCCGTGATAGATGCGATAAAATACGCAAAGGGATGCAACATCTCTACGCAGTGCCAGTGTATCGAGCCGATCGGAAAGAACTCGGTCGTCGACGATTCGAATCGCTCTGCGCTGGATGCGGTCAAGTGGAAGGAGCTGGCACTGGGGTGCCCCGGCCCAGAGATGAGAACAGTATTCCATGTGGGGCCGAACTTGCGCTTTGTAAAGTTGCAAGCGATGTGCCGGCATGAAATACTGTCTCGCTCTGCTGAGCACGCCAAGCTTTTTAGAGGCCAATTTAGCCTTCCCTTCCAAGTGACCACGAAACTGCACGCTATTCGATATGTCGACGCCAAGGATTCCGATACTGGCTGAGGCAGCAAGGGGAGTGCCTTGAAACTGAGGAGATACGACAAAGGGGTTCTTTTTAGCGGTAAACGCGCAAACTTGTGTCTTCTGGGGATTGAACTAGACTAGATTTAGTCGGCCCCAATCCGAGACTTTGTTAAGCAAAGACTCGACTTCAGACACAAGTTTGTCCCGGTACTCGGCGACGTTTTCCCGAGAAATATTGGCACGGCTGGTATATAAGGCATCCCCAGTGCTGTCGTCTGCATAGCAATGAATGCTACCAGTTGTTAGGGTCCTGGTGATGTGGTTAAATGAAAGTGGACTGTATATTCTTATAGGGCTGATATAATCATCCCTACTTTACAATAACCCGGTCTACTTAATAAAATTATTATTATAAATTAAATTAGTGTTGTCGTCCGACCGCGGTGGAGTATCGTCCCAAACCTCCTCCCGCCGCGTCGCTGCCGCTCGACGAGACGTCCTCCCGCGCGTCTCAACCCGCGCGTACATGCAACCGGTTCCCAACATGCTCCCCGGGTTGAAGTGTGCAGAGAACTTCAAAAATCTGGAAGGGAACAGATGTTATTAAAGGCTCTTCGAATTGTGCCTCTCCTTGTCTTCAACACGGCGACTCTGGAAACGCCGTCGCTGCCAGGATAGAGCTGCATGACTCGTCCTAAGGACGACATCAATGGTGGGAGAGCTCTTTCCTTGACAAGAACAAGAGATCCCAATTTCAGCTCCTTGGTCAACGACCGCCATTTTACCTTTTGCTGGAGCAGATTGACATACTCTAGTGAAAATCGGCTCCAAAAGTGCTGCTTTATAAGCTCGATTCTCTTGAATCGATCAAGGCGGGTTATATTCGCATCACCTATTTGTGGTTGAGGGATAGCAATTAGTGAGCGTCCAATCAAAAAGTGGGCAGGAGTCAGTGCGGAGAAATCTGAGGGATCAGTGGAAATAGGGGTGAGGGGCCGAGAATTCAAAACAGCCTCTATTTGAGTGAGGCATGTAGCCATTTCCTCATAATTTAAATGACTGTTTTGTAATAAACGCTTAAGATGGTGTTTTGTAGAGCGTACTGCTGCTTCAGCTAAGCCATTAAAGTGAGGGGTATAAGCGGGAATAAATTTAAATTCGATGCCTTCTTGAGCCATTTGACCTTCAAGTTCCGATTGAAGAAGAAATTGAGCCAGCTCGTTGCTTACACCGATAAAATTCGAACCGTTATCTGACGTGATGCTCTTGGGCTTTCCGCGACGGGACACAAAGCGATTTAAAGCGGCAATATATGCTTCGCTGGATAGTGCCGTAACGAGCTCAATATGACAGGCCTTTACCGAACTGCAAATAAAGATTGCCAAAAAAGATTTAATAAGTTTACAACCTCTGCCCTTACGGTCTGCTATCAACACTGGCCCGGCGTAGTCGACGTTGCAATGAAGAAAGGGAAACTCTAGTTCGGTACGCGAGGCGGGGAGCTGGCCCATGATGGGCTGAACAGTTTCCGCCCTGTACCGGAAGCATCGCATACATTCGTTAACTGTAGCTTTAGCTAGGTTTTTTCCACCTAAGGGCCAATAAGTTTGCTTAATATTTCCTAACAGAAGTTGTGGCGGTGCATGTAAATATTTTAGATGAAAATGTTCAAACATAAGCTTAGTGAAATGATGTTTGCTGCATAACAAAATTGGGTGCTTTGTGTCGTAATTGTAAGGGGAGTTATCGAGTCTTCCACCAACCCTTATTGTGTTATTAGCATCGAGAAATGGGCTTAAAGCTATAAGTCGATTTTTGTTAGGAAGCGCCTTTCCGGCTTTAAGAAGAGTATATTCGTCAGGAAACATCTCACATTGAGATTTAAGAATAATAAAATTTAAGGAATTTTGAAGCTCTTGAACTGAAAAATGTTCTTTCATTTGCATTTTCGGGTTCTTACAGTTGTAAATAAATCTTTGTAAATATGCTATAGTGTTTTGTAAGTTTGTTAAATTAGATTTGTTTTTGATTAAGTTAGATATTAAGTCTGCATTAGAATTGTTAAGCGCGAAGGAACAGGTGATCAACTCTGGTAGATTCTGTTTCACGCCGACGTTGGGCACTTGTGGCCAATTAGTTTCAATGTCTGTTAAGAAAGGTGGCCCTGACCACCACAATTCTGAACCGCTGATGAGGTCAGTCTTCAGCCCACGGGAAACAAGATCCGCCGGATTGTCCTTCGACGGTACGTTGCTCCACGTGTGACCCTCTGTGCATTCCTGAATTTCATGTACACGATTCCTTACGAAACTTTTAAGGTTAGTAGGTGGTGTTTTTAACCACCCTAAAACAATAGTTGAGTCACACCAGAATCTACACTTGCTGATATGTAGTGTTAAAGAGGTTAATACTTTGTTACACAGTCTTGCAGCCACTAACGATCCGCAAAGTTCCAGGCGCGGAATAGTTGTTGGCTTTATTGGCGCTACCTTGCTCTTAGAAGTCAAAAGTTGTACTTTGATAGAGCCTGATGCGTCTATAGAGCGAATGTAGACGCAGGCCCCATATGCTCGCTCAGAAGAGTCCGAAAACACATGAATTTCATGGAATATTGAATGGTCTTGAAGTACCCACCGAGGAACCTTTAAGTGGTTAAGAAGTGGTAAGGTGTCGGCGAACGAAAACCATGAACGTTTTATTTCCGTTGAAACCTCATCGTCCCATGAGCGTCGTTCGATCCATAGCCTCTGTATGATGAGCTTTGCTTCGATGACACAAGGGCCCACGAGACCCAATGGGTCGAAGATCTGACTTATAACGGAAAGTATGTGACGTTTTGTCACTTTGTCCCGAAGTTCGATATTGATTGAAAATGACAAAATGTCTAAATCGCAAATCCAATTTAGACCTAAAGTTTTAGAAGAAACATTACTATCGCTGTTTGCTATGTCTAAGACATTATCTGATTGTAATGAAGATGAAACGTCATGTAAAATTAATTTGTTATTTGATTGAAATTTGCGTAAATTGAAATTTGCAGTTTTAAGTGTATTAATAACTCCTTTGCACAGCTTGATAGTGTCGTCAATAGTCGACGACCCGCCTAAATAATCATCAACGTAAAAATCGCGTTGAATCGACTGCTTTACGTCGCTATCGAGAGCGCTGGATGCTAAGCTCACCAAACACTTCGTGGCTAAGTGTGGGGCAGACGCCGTACCATAAGTCACCGTATTTAAGGTGTACGTTTTTAACGGGTGTGATGAGTCATACCTAAATATGATTTGTTGAAGTGAGCGTTGGGCGGGATTAAGCTCAATCGCTCTGTACATTTTCTCTATATCTCCAGTAATGACGTATTTATGCTGGCGAAAACGTAATAAAATAGAATAAAGGTCTTCTTGTACAGCCGGCCCTACCATTTGAATGTCGTTAAGCGACAATCCAGAACTAGATACGGCGGAAGCGTCGAAGACTGTGCGAAGCTTGGTGGTAAGGCTGGACTCACGGATGACTCCGTGGTGAGGTAAAAAATAATTGAGCTGTTGTAAGTCGCCAAATGAAGACTCTTTGTTTTCAGTCATGTGACCTAGGCGTTCATATTCGTGCATGAACTCCATGTACATATCCTTAAAAACAGGCTCCCGAAGAAATTTGCGCTCTAAAGATAAGAAACGGCACTTGGCCATTTGAAAGGATTCGACGGCATGGAGACGACAAAGCTACCGTTCTCGCTGCGTACGGTGTTTGTTAAAAAACTCTGCTCGCAGGCACGCTCCTCAGGAGACAAAGAGTGTTTTGCTGCCACAGTGTCTAACTCCCAAAAACGAGTTAAGTCTGGATTGGAATCCTCGCTTATAAAGTGACAAACGGGAGACGAATACGGTGCCTTAAGACGGGCGACATGCCCGGACACCAGCCAACCCAGTTTTGTCTCATACAACTTAGGCTGATTTTTGCCCAAGTCAATGGAATTATTACATAAGACGGACCAAAATACTTCGGCACCCACTAAGTAGTCTGTAGCCGACGGTATGTTAAAGGAAGGGTCGGCAAAACTTATTCCCATCGGAAGAGGGATATTTTGTATGTCTATGAAAGAAGACGGTAAACCTTTAGTGATCTCAGGCAAAATAAGGCAGTCTACAGTAAGGCTATAGTCATTATGAAGCGACTTAATGTTAAGGCTGCAAGACTGTGTAATATGAGATGAATTATTGTTTATACCTGTCACCGTGGAGCTCACGCTACGTCGCGACAAACCCAGCTTACCGCAGAGCGATTGCGTAACGAAGTTAGCCGTACTGCCATTGTCGAGCAGCATGCGGGCGGAGTGCGCGGCGCCGGTGCCGTCCAGCACCTTTACCAGCGCTGTGGAAAGCAAAACAAGCGGAGGAGTAGCTACCTGCTTTGACTCGCTTGAGTTTGCGAAGTGGTTAATGCTGCTGGTTGATGGCATAGCAGGCTCAGGGATCGGCTGTGGCTCATGCAAGTGCAATAGCGTATTATGCCTTTTCTTGCAATATTTACATGAAGATAAATTGCAATTATTTTCTAAGTGCCCAGGTCGTAAACAATTAAGACAGACGTTTGACTCTTTAGCCTTTTGTATACGAATTTCAATAGGAAGGGCTCTGAATGTTTCACAGGTGAATAGAAAGTGATTTTGATTACACAATGGGCATGTAAATATTTTTTTTATTAAATAAGTTGTTTTTTTTTATTGAAGTTTTGTTTTTCCCTTTGAGTGTTTGTAGCTATAAGTAAATTTGTATTAGTTTTGTAAGTTTCATATTTTTGTGGTTTATTTTTACTTTCTTGCAAAGTCTCCAAAAGGTCTGCCCTATTGCTGAGAAACGTCGTAAATGTTTCTAACGAAGGAGGATTATTAAGAGTATTTCTATATTCTTCCCATTCTCTATGAGTGACACCATCAAGTTTTTCAGCCATCATGTGAATTATGAGTGTATCCCAATGCTGTGTCGGCTGGTCTAGGGTAGTCAAGGCGCGAAGATTTTTATTCGTAACGTCAATAAGGCGTCGAATACCCTTGCAGGATTCATTGCGCATATGCTCCACATTAAATAGTTCCCTTACGTGGTTATTGACCAGTAAGCGTTTGTTGTCGTACCTGCTACACAATAAATTCCACGCAGAATTATAGTTTTCGGCTTTGAAATCTAAGTTATCGATAACAAGCAAAGCGCTACTTCTAAGAGACGCGCGAAGGTAATGCAGTTTATTAATGTTATCAATATCTTGTCTCGAATGTATTAAAGATATGAAAGTGTCCCTAAACTCAAGCCAGTGTTGATAGTGACCGTTGAAGACTGGTAAATCAATTTTGGGCAATCTGACGCAATTGGATTTAAAGGCACCTGTTTGCTGTAAGCTTGCATCCTCGTAGCTCGATAAGGAACGATTCAGCGGCTGCTCGCATTGCCGCGCGGGCCGCGCGCCGAGCACGCTGCGCGCCGCCGCCGCCAGCGAGTGGTACTGGCCCTCGAACTCCTCGCGCTCTAGCTCTTGAGCATCACTGTCGTCTGAAAGCACCTCGATCTGGCTCTGTAATTCGTCATATTGCGCGTATAAGGCATCGAATTTTTTAAAACGACCTTCTAAGTCTAGCAGTTGTAAATCGCTAGAGGGGCCGCCTGATTGCAATACTTTTACGTATTTATTAAATATAGTAACCTTAGATTTAATAGAACTACGTAATTTAATTAATTTTTGTATTTTTTCTTCGGCCATGACAAAGCGGTAATGAAATATTTAAGAAAAACAAAAGTTATAACGCAAAGTAGTTATAAAATGCAGCGTGAACTTGACCTTGGTGTGCGAACAAAGGAACAGATGGGCTAGTGGCGACCCGGCCGGCCGGCTCAGGTAGATATAGATAAGAAGCGAGCGATTTGCGTAAACAAGATCCCGTTATTCGAGCGCAGTGCTGTTGCTGGGCTTATGCAATAATTTGATTTTAGAAGTAAGTACGTGTTATTATGGAAGAGATTAGATAGTGTTTAAGCATATATGACTAAAAGCACTCACTAAAAATAAAGGCTTTTTTAAATTTATATATATGAAAAAGAAGGAAAAGATCACAGGAATAATTGGAACGGGCTCACCAATGACTACTCGAACTTTCGATGGGTCCAAAGTCCGTGGCACGGTCGAATTCAAGATGGTTCCCGGCTCACGAGCGTGCGAGTTGCTTTGAAGGATCTTCCGCAGGATGTGATGGTTCACGAAGGCCCGTGCAGAAGTATAATTTCGCAGCTGAAGACCACACTTAAGAGCTCGGAGACGTGGCGAAGACCGTATTATGTAAGATGGCGAGAATCCTAAACGACCAATGTTAGGGTCCTGGTGACGTGGTTAAATGAAAGTGGACTGTATATTCTTATAGGGCTGATATAATCATCCCTACTTTACAATAACCCGGTCTACTTAATAAAATTATTATTATAAATTAAATTAGTGTTGTCGTCCGACCGCGGTGGAGTATCGTCCCAAGCCTCCTCCCGCCGCGTCGCTGCCGCTCGACGAGACGTCCTCCCGCGCGTCTCCACCCGCGCGTACATGCAACCGGTTTTCAACACCAGTTAGCAACATATCATTGATATGCAGGAGAAACAGCGTTGGTGATAGCACGCAGCCTTGTGGAACACCAGCGTTGATAGGTTTGTAATCAGAGCATGCACCGTCTACTATGACCTTGTTGCTCCGATCAGCAAGGAAACTGGTGATCCATTTGCACAATTTCTCGGGAAGCCCATAGGAAGGAAGCTTCGAAAGAAGCGCCTTATGCCAGACCCGATCGAAGGCCTTCGCTATGTCCAAACTAACGGCCAATGCCTCCCCCTTGGACTCTACTGCCTCCGCCCATCTATGAGTTAAGTAAACTAGAAGATCACCTGCTGATCGACCCCGACGAAAACCGTACTGACGGTCACTGATCAGCTGGTGATCCTCAAGGTACCTCATGAGCTGGCAGTTGCATTGACATTGCACACCCATCTACCAGTGGGAACCAGGAAAATGATGGCCCTCAAGAATATCATATATCTCTGAAACGAAAAATATTTCCGTCTAAGGACTACAAATCAAAAAAACGATCTGAAAAACTAAAAATGAAAAAAACTTGGAAAAAAATCCATTTGCAATAGAAAAAGGAGAAGAATAAATATCGTATAAAATAAGGTCATTCCGAGAAAAAAAAAATCCAAGAAGAAAGGAGAATGCCAGGCTTGTATGGGAATTTCGTACAGCTAAAAAAATTCGTGTTTTGAGATATTTTTTTTTGTTTTAATTGGCAGTTAGTAGGATAGACAAGCCCTATTTAAATTAATAGATTTTTAAAACTTGGGACGTAAAAGTTATATTTTTAAGGTTATGTGAGTGTGTACCCAATATAGACTGTTACATAAATGCTCATACACATAGTTTTGGTGATAAAGTAAATATTCTAGATTGCTTGTCACTATCTTTGTAGTGTTTTATTTACTATTAAGAAGGTTGATTGAGATGAGCATCGTACCGACTCAGCGGGGTGCATTAGGAGATAATTACATATATCCAGCAGCGGACTGCAACAGTTTGATTATGATGAAGTTCTGATGGGGTTTTGAGTGTAGGTAAATAAAATAATACTTTGTTTTTGTAAGTGCATTTATTTTATTGTACTTATAATTATTCAATTCTTAATATTACTTCATCTAAGAAGGATGCAGGTCGGGTTCCTCATGGCAAGCATAGCTTAGGTACCAAATAATGCTAATCACTTGAGAGCATGATCCCACTGTTTTTAAACCTACAATGCAGTTATAACTATAAGTTCTGATTGCGTCCCGAACATTCATGTTTGTTTCCGCAACTATAAATACGTAATAAGTTTTAGCAGAAGAATGGCGGGACTTTATTTTAGCACGAAGCAACATTGGGTTTATTCGCTCTAAATCATGTATTCTCTCTCGGGATATCTCTAATGTATATATATATTCCATGAAAGCGGAAATGCTTGCACCCACATATGAACGGGCCTGGCGATTTCGTATACACTACATGCAAATAGTATTAACTCTGTATCCTTTCTCATGTAGACTATCCATGCATTCATGAAAACCTCTATCTAGAATAAAAAACATAATTTTCTCTATAAAAATCATTGAATTCTGTTTCGTTTAATAAGTCATTCTTTATGGTCGCATCATTTGTAATGGCAATATATGGTCCGCGTCCTTTCGCGAAACTACTATCAAAAGATAGAGAACGGAGGAGCAAATGCTCAACTCAACGTAAAAACGGCCAGATAATTCGCTAAATTGCTCAGATGCAATCACGAACCACAATCCAAAACAACAGCAAAGAACTGAAAACTAAACTGAACTGAAAGACAGATAACCTTTACCTGTCAATAAATACATGAACAAAAAAATATTGACGACGAACATCATTCCTATCATTAAATCGTAAACCATTATGATTGATTGCAACAACTACGCATTCTTAGGTATATATAAGTGTTTAATTATATATAGTGTCATTTCTATTTCTAAATAAATTCGTTTGGCGCGAACAATTTCTAAAAAAAATTGTTCGCGCCAAACGCTGTCAATAATCGACGCCAGATGGCACTCGGCTCAGCGCAATACCGGTTGAAGTTCGGCCGAGCTTGGAATGGCGCGCGGGTCGCGAGCGAAAAGGCAGAGTCGTCTGTCAGCGGTGCTAACGTCAGCACACTGTCAATTTTGTTAGGGAACTCGGAATAATTAGGCGCGGCCCGTAAATATACGGTCTAGGGTTTGTGACGCGTATTCCTAGCTAGAGAGCTTTCCAGGGACTTATTGGGTCCGACTCAGAATCTGTATAAGTGCATTCGACAATATTAGCTAGTGCGGCCTTTGATATTCTAGAAATAACTGTTGCTACGCGAAACGGTAGTGACCTTTACCTCCGTGTTCGTTTTGTGTGTTAACCTTATACCCAACGAGTGTTAGTGGCTTCTGTAAGTTAGTTAATTGTATCGACGTGAGAAGTGGTCCGGCGCCGAAGCAGTCTGAAGCGGTGCAGCATTTTGGAGCAGCCTGGAACTCGGCCGCTGCTGGCCGCCTATGCTTGCCAAGGCCCCACATTTCACACCTCACTGTACACTACTCTCCATCCACTATTACACACACTCACGGCCTGGCCAAGCCTTAGTGCGAAGTTAGCTTCGGATAATGGTAAGTACTACGTGTTTGTAGCTTCCTCCCATATTGTTTATTGTAATTAGGAAATTCCACGTGGCCATATTCTGGCCCCGTCCCTCTGCTGCTCGTCGATGGGATTACTCATGGGCCCTAATCCCGTCATCCTTGATTGGGGCAGCTAGGGGCGTGTACATTCTGGTAGCAGAGCGTGGTTCCGGGTTCGATTCCCCGGTCGATCCCGACCATAGTGTTTGATAAAAATTAAACAGTTCTGGTGGCAGGGAGCGTTGATTTGATTGGTTTAATTTGTATCTACAATCACGCCCGTCCATAATACGTAAAAATATTTTTTTGTACGTAATAATAAAATTATTTTCCTTTGTTGCTTTGTTGCTTGTCTTTTTTTTGGTTAGTGGGTAGTTTGAAAAGCCGCACCCTAGATTGCGCAAGCGGGAATTTTTCTAGAGATATACGTCATGTAGGTAGATAGTTATTTTTACGTAATCGGTTAATTATCGTTGTCGGATAGTTGTAGTGGATTACTTATCGAAGGGTCGATTTCCGAGCTAGGCATTTTTTCTTGATCGACCGTGATGTGTATCTTATTTGTATTGTAATTTCTATTT